GCCACCAAGCAGCTCACCTCCCCCGAGGTGAAAAAACAAAACGTGCGCTGTCGTCAACGTGTTGAGGTTGATAAGGCTCGCAATTCGTACGCCAGTCAACGATGAGGAAAAAATATGAAATTGCTGACTTAGATCATTCTTGCTGCGATGCGTCGTATATTCTTTCCAGGGTTGGGAAACAAAGATATCTGAATGCATTTCGAGCATCTATGAGGCTGGTGGATGTCGTAATCAGGGTATCTTTAGTTACGTCTCCTACCACCTCTATAGGTTCCTTTGAAGGCATGGGTTGCGATAAAATTGCCGTGTTATTTCAAAAAAATTTAGGCAAAAGTCTTAAGAGGAACGTCGGTGAAAAAGCGAAAAGCATCATAGAAAAGTGGAATTCTCCTTGTGAGTTCGATCGTGGGTACAAATATAGGCACAGCGCTGTGAGGAGAGGGAAGACGCGAGAGAGAACTTTCGTACGTGAGAGCGCGCAGACGCCACGTATGCTGCAGTTGAATGGCAGCGGTTGCAACGGTCAAGTGAAGGCATCAGATCTGTTGTCACTCATTCTCAAGTCGCGGCAGTACCACCACCCCTGTGGTCAGGGGTTCTGCTTTCTCGCTCAAACAGAGAATTTCTCCTAGAATTCATTCGCGACTTCTGCTTTAAGGCGTGAGCGCGTAAAGGCAAGCCCGGGATAGAATGGGTGTGTAGGAGCGTTCAGTAGTGGAGCTAGAGGTAAAAAGTGGTCCGAGAAATATAATGGCCTTTTCTACTTCAGCCGCATTCCACCCTGGAATAGAGAAGGGGCGTGTTGGACGAGTTTCACGAACCTAGCTCCAGTTGCTCCAGTGCCAATGACATTGAACCGCAATGCAACCGCTGCCGCAACTGCGCCCGCGCTTTTCTCGCAGCGTCACGTGGTAGCCGACAGCGGAAGGCGGGGCTTGCGAAGCCGAGGTGGATTGCCGGACGAGCGAGCTTCTAGCGCCTTTGTCGTCACTTTCAGCCGCAGAAGTTGCGCGACATCAACGCTTGCTCACCTGTCCACTACGCTCGGGGATGGAACATAGTGTGTCTAATAGCGGACCGTGCCTTTAGTCAGATAATGAAGTGAATAAAATATGAACAAGAAGTGCAGGGTGATACAAGAGCGATGAAGAAATCAGAAATTTTGAAAACCTGCAAAATGGGACCCCCAACTTTTGCAGATTTCGTACGAATTACGGCTCAGAGGTTCGTATTTAGCGACGTTCAAGGGAAGGGTCCTTATGGTGTTGGCGTCATCATCATGAACGCGCGGCTCTGCGTCCTTGCTAAACGGCTTTGTCCGTGGTTAGAGTCCAAGCGTTGCGACCATCGCTGGCACGGCCTTGCTAGGCCGCCATGGGCATTCCCTCCGCTGCAGAACGCGCATCGTCTCGCACTATTAGGCGCCTTTCTTTCTATCAGATATATCTCCATCTAGAACCAGGTCTGTATTTCAGCTCTTCACCGAGGGCTCACAGTGCACCAGTCATTGACCATAACTTTGTTAGCACAAACTCCGACGCTTCCGCTTTCACAACAGGTTTGGCGTTCTCCTTGGTGTGAACATATTCAACGCAGAACTTTCCAGAGTATACGGGGTCAAACAGAAAACTCTACAGACGGATAAAGGAGATGAAAAGGATGAAGCCAATAAGGTTTTGATTGGTTTATGCTAATCGAAATGTACGATTCTGTAGCTTTGTTCAGGTCGCCGATAGCGTCCAGTAGCAATGTGTCAATGGAGTATGATGACCTGTTCGAAATGTATTCCGATGAAGGTTACGCTTTTGTGACGCTTTTGCTTAGGCCTACATTCAAGCTATTCTTATTACAGATTATAATCGCAATTACACACTGAACCCAATCACTGCTATCTCTTCAACAACTAAGTTAGGTGAGTTTTTGTATAGGCTAAGAAATGACTTACGTCTCATATAAAATACTACGCAAACATGAATTAAGAGAGCGAATCCAGTTGTTCTTGTGCCAATCCTCTTCGACGTAAAGACCTCAACTTCGATGATCCCCTGGTTTTGGCAGTACCAGGTACAATAATTCTTGCCGTTTTCATTACTACTCCACACCATTTCTCCATATTTCTAATTAATATCAGCTTATAAATCAAATTGCTTTTCGACGGCCTATTCACATCACGATGGCCAACGGGCGGTGTGGTCTTGATCAGTCATCGAATGTCGTTAGTATACTAGACCCATCAGCGAGCCGAGGGAGGGGGAATGAGGTTAGAACCGCCTCTCATCGCTGTTCCACCAATGATGTTCAAGCGACGTCATTAAAACCGCACCGCCCTCCAACCATCATAACCATTACCTTCAAATGCTATTAGATTACTATTCATTCTATTCAAAAACATATCACGTAAACTATTAGATTGGCCAGCTAGTTTTTCTTCCCAATTTTTTTTTAATGTTCTGGAATTGAACCGCGTGAGGATGAGAGGTGCATCGTCTCCCTTCTAAAGCCGATGTCAACGACCAGACCCAGTCGAGCCTGTTCACGGAAGGACTGCAGGGATAA